CCCTTCCACCACCAGCCTCCCCCCCCCCGCCCAGGAGAGGGTGGTGGTGCGAGGTGGCTGGTATTGCAGCGCGACGGCAGCACCTCGGCCCTGAGCCAGGGGAGGGGCCCCGGACCTTGACGGTAAAAGCGATGGAGCTGGTAGAAACGGCTGCACCGAGTACGGAGTTCCCTCCTGAGAAAAAGTGCCTTTTTTGGTGTGGCCCTGACCGTTCTGAAATTCAGAAGTTAGCAGGTAAATGCGGTGTATCGATGATGTGAATCATCTTTTAGCATATATAGTAGCCAGTACTTGTGACTCGGCATGTTGGCAGCAGAAATGTGTAAATTGGGGATGTTCTAGAAGCCATACGTAATGTGTTTGAGATCCTTGCATTCTTTGTGGAATTAGTCTCTTTTTTATCCGTCCTGTATGCTAGTTAAACCGATGTTAGTTCAGAGTTTCATTTTTACAGACTGCTTGTCTAGTGTCTTAGTGCTTGATCCTTCTACCTGATCAAATGTAGTCACATACAGTTTCAAAGGATATGGTTATCAGCTTCTCCCCTTGAGTCCTGAGTTTGCTTTCCTAGTGGTTTCTACTTTTGTTGATACATGAAATACATGCGAATCTACCCCCAGTTAGCTAAGAGAGCATAAACTGTTGACAAAGCTCTGATACATAAAAATATAATCAAAATCCGTCATGCTCATTTCTAAATGTATTTTAAAAGCCTTATTAAAAATGAGCAACTCATTGAAAGCCAGTGCAGGTAGTATTTGTATTTTTAGATCATTTCTCCTCACTTGATATGATCATAATAAGTTTATGAAGGGAGAGAATTTTTAGAAGACTGATACTGTTCCTAGACAGTAGATTAGTCTGATAATATGTCTGTAATCTGACTTGGTTAATTCTGTTATCCTTATTAGTGTGTACTGCTGATTTTGGTATTTATTTTCTAAAGCCTTAGGTTTTAGCACAGTTATTCTTGCATTTCTTGGAAACTTCCCCTCTGAGACACCGCTTCAAAATGGCTTGATGGTTTCCAGATTGGGAGGAAGAGAGGGTAGGCCGAAACTTAAGAATGTGTAAAACCATGCTAATTGGCAGTTGCATTGATTTTGGCAAAAGTCTTTCCACCACTTTTTACCTACGGAGAATGCAGCATCATACTGGTTTGCTGATTCTAGTTTCACAAAAGTCAAGCATGCAGTGTGCATTCTCCAATGCATCTGTCAGTATTGCCATTTTGACTGCACATGATGTTCATGAACAGCTGGTATCATAGGATGAAGGGGTCCAGTCTTTATTGTTTGAGAGCAAAGAAGTAGGTTTGCATCTAATCAGAATGCAAATATATAAGCACATCTAACTGCTGTGGCTGTGATTTGGGAAAGCTATGGGAAGCTTTGAAAATAGGTGACCTTTTTGGAAGGGCTTACTTTTAAGTAATTTGTAGCAGTAGACTAACTGGTGGCTTTATCTGTATGAGTGAGATATGCCCTTTTGACCCTTAAGCTGCTGAGTCTACTGACCTTTCAGGAGAACAATACCTTTTATTAGACTCCTGTATGGGTTTCCTTGATTAGAGGTAACTTTTGAGGTCTTAAGTGCATAAGACTATAGTGAAACTTCTGTTTAATGGAGTTCAGCCTCAGTAAGACACTCCTGTTTGGCTGGAGAGGTATAAAAAAGAAGAGTTTCTGGGCTTTCATGCACTGTATGAAGGCTGAGCATGTGTTTAAATAAGTAACATAACTGTTTGTACAGGATTTTGAGCTCTAGTCCAGTATTCTTTATAGAGTGGGTTTCAATGTGTTTAGTTCTTCTCTTTAAGTATTGATATTTTCACCAAAGTCTACATCAGAGGCTTAGAAAAGGTGGCAAATGTTTTTCAAAAAAATCTGTTTAGCACAGTTTAAATGAAGCTGGAAATGTAGTTGGTATAACTAACCAATGTTCTGATTGCATCTGAATAGTCTGGCTTTGCTCTTCGTTTGTTATACTTTCCATCTGTCTGTTTTTTCTACCTGTTCACCTTCATGGTTCAAAGTTACTTCATCTCTCTTGTCTCTAAACATCCTTTTTTGGATGCCTGCCAAGCCACCTGGTTCTCATCTGTCTTCTTTCTTGAGCATATTGTGCAGCTGCTGTTTTACCCTATTTTCTTGAGATTTCTTTCTCAGTTGTTGACTTTGGATATGTAGGCCAGCCCTTCTTCTCTGTACCACCTCTCAGTAAATACATACAGGTTGTCTACTTCTTGGTAGCCTTTTTCTCCAGAAAGTCTTCACTACTTCCCCACTGCATTGTAAGGGAACCCAGAAAAATATTTGAAAAAGCATTGAGGGGAGTGTCAGGTCAGGACTAAGAACTGCATTTTAGCCACTGCATTTTGGATCTGCCATGGATTCCTGGAATCAAAGGTCACTGCAAGGTAATATTAAATACTGGTGTTTTGGGTGTTATGAAAAACTGTGTTACTTTGTGAAGGAAATCACAACATGACAGAGGTACTACTATTTAAATTCTAGAGTTACTGCAGTAAGTTATGTAGCATGCTACAAGTAAAATTACTTACTTTTTAAATCTGTGCTACCTCATCCCTTTACTGCTAGCTACTATATTTGGATTGTATCTGTTTTTGAAAGTTCTTTCTTTAATGGTGAGACAGACAAGTTTTTTTCAGTAGAGCTGATTTGCATTTCTGTGTTGCAAGTAAACCAGAAGTTTCAGTACTTTTTCCTCTTATAGTAGAGGAAGAAGTAATAGGGAAAATCTATTGCAGAAGGGAAATTTGAAAACTTCTTAATGAACTTATTGATAATGAAGAGGATGCAGAAAGGCAATGTAGTAAAGAAAATGTGGGTTGAGTAGACTGGTGTTCTTAGTGAGCTACTAGAAATCAAGAAATTTAGCTTCTCTAATCTAGTATCTATCTACCTTGATAAACCTGTAGAAAACAAATGCTGTCACTTTGTCCTGTAAGAACACTGTTGTAAAACAGTAATTATATGAAAAGCCAACATGCTTGTATAACCCCTGAATGATTGAAGCAAAGAACTCCCTAGTTTGTGTCTTACCTGATAACATTCTGAGGGTGACTTTAGTTTTGACAAACACATGAACAAATTCTTTAAAATAAAGAACTGCTTTAATTGTAAATTTCAAAATTGAAAATGAGTCCCTAAGAATGATAGTATAAGTAAGACTTTCATCAGCGATGCTGTAGCACAGGTATTCAGGTTAAATCTTCGTAGCTAATCTTTGTAGCTGCCATCCCAGTGATAGCAGCTCTTAATTCAAACTCAGGGTTTTATACTCACTGCATTGTTTTAAGCTTATTCTGCTGTCTTCTTGCTTGTTTGTGCAACCAAGTATATCTGACAAGCCTCCAGCATCACTTTCTAGAAGTCCTGAAAATAATAAGTTAACAGAAGTCTACATCTTATCTTAGTTGCCTGTTGCATTTTACATCAGTTTGTTCATAGCTTGAGCTGTAATTTGGATCAATAGATCTTGATGGTGAACTATACATGAAGAAGCATGAAGCTGCCAATTTTTTTTTATTGAAGCCTTATGAGTTACTGGTACTGTTGGAAGATTGCTTCTTGTGTTAGAGTAGATCCATTAATCATACTAAAAGGATGATTAGTGCGCCTCTGATTTGTAGAAAACGAAGCATGTATGCCCATCCAAGTTAGCTGATAAACTTACCTTTGTCTTGATAGAGGTGGACTCAGCAACATGCTGTTTCAGTGCTCACTACCTGATACCATTGAGACAGTTGCAGATGAACCACGGAAAGTTCTCCTGCGCTTATATGGTGCAATCCTGCAGATGGTGAGTACATAGAGCGCTTTGGGAGTGGGAGGGTTTCCGTAGCTTAATTGTAATATGTTTGGAGATCTTAATTGGTGACACACTGCAAGTGTGTGCTGCTTTATCCTTTTGGGAATGTGTTTTAGTGGTAGTGGGGTAGATTGCTAGCTTAAAGCAGTTTTCTTTATAGTTTGTTATTGTCTAGAACTTACACTCCTTTCTATACAGATCCTTGGCGTGTATCAGCTGAAGGCTCATTTGCTGTCTGTTTGATCAGTAATGTTTTGTTCATGGTGTTGAGTTTGGACTGTGATGTTTCAGAAAAGTTATTAAAGTTTGCTTCTGTACAGTATGTAGGACTTTGGCATAACTAGCAAGATTGCAAGAGACTAAGCTGCTTAATTTTAATCTTGGTAGCACTTATGAATCTCGGAGATTAAAGTTGAAGGTTTTGTCAAACTTGTACAGTGCTCAAGCATTTTATTACATCTCATGGGTAATTGTGTTGCTGGAAAATTTGATCTGTAGTGTTACAATAAAAATGAAGCACAAACATCAATACCGTACAGCCATCTCATTCCAAAACATGCTTTCTTAAATGTGTGATATGCCTTGTAGCTGGCATAGAAGCTTAACCAGATGTTTGTCGAACTCTTCTAATGTTACTTTTCTTTTATTTGGTTAGTAAAATGTAAATAGCATTGAAATTTGTCAAACCTTAAGAGAAATGGTTGGCAAATCTGTTTCAAATTGTAAGGTTTAAAATCAATAATATTTTGTAAAGGTGATCTCTTCTAAAGCTTACAGGCTGTTACCGTAGGACTGTACAGCAGATCTTCTCTTACCCATCTGTGCTAGACACCTGATTATATTGTAAATAAATAATCATAAGTGTTTAACCTTATGAAAATTGCAGCTTCATAAAATTACACTTGGATGTTGGGAATTGTTTCTATTTGACTTCGAGGGTCTCGTTTTATTATCCATTAATTTGATATTTTCCGGTAGTCAGTCATTTGCTTTGAATAACTGATCCAATATTTGAGGAGATTGACTGTTTCTGAAATTTCAGCCCATTCTTCCTGCTTCTGCTGCCTTGACCAAACTTACTATTAAAAAAATCTCATTGGATACTGTCACTTAACTGGCTTTAAAGTGTTCTTTTATTGTACTATGTAAGATATTAACTTTCCCGTGGTAGCAAACTTTACCAGAAATATGTAAAAGATTCCAGTGGCTTGAAATAGCATGAAATGCTTGGCTACACCACTGTATGTGTGTTGGGAAAGTTAAACTGTTAAACAAGAAAAGTGTGTAGGAGTTCATTAATTCAAGCTTAAATAGTCTTTCCTTTAGTTTAAGAGAAACCAAAAGCAAAGTGAAAAAAATGGTGGTGAGAAACTTTGTTTTCAAAATGACTCCTAGGGTTGATGCGAAGAATTTTTTTCAGAATTTTAATGGCTTTAATGTAATGCTGACTTAATATGTAGAAGGCTTGAGTAGGAACATGGGCTGTATAACTGCTGTAGTAGTAGAACTTCTGTTGCCCAAGACCTGTGAAGAAATGTGGCCTTTCCCTTATATTTCAAAGGAAAAGTAAAGTAGACTCTAGAATTTGGTCTTCCCTCAGGGTTTTTAACTTGACTTTTCTGTGCCCCTGTCCACTGAAGAAATCAAAATAAAATTTTGGGCTCTAAAATCAGAACTAATTCGGTTTGAAAATTGAAAGTGTGTTCATAACTTTCTAACCTTTCTACTCTTGGTGTTGAAGGATCTTTTGAGATGTCTAACTTCCTTTATTTCCGTAGTGGCAGTGAAATGACTGCTCTTGTTGGTGCAGTTCACTAAAGGTTAAGTAAGCAGAGAAAGTCCCAAGGTAAAACTTTCAGATTGCATTGAGGTTCACAATTTTTGTCGACAAACATTTGTCTCTTCCAGCCCCTCTATCTTAAATGCAAGTTAAAATATAAGCAAACTGTTTTATTGGGGTATTTTGAAAACCTCACTTAGGATTCTTATGAATTTCTGGGTGGCATAAGCAGAATCTTATGAGAAGCCTGTTAAGAGGGAGTAATTTGACATTTTCTAGTAATGTTGCTTAAGTTTAAAGCCTTGTAGAAATTAAGGGATGCTGCTTAAGTAAGTTGAGTTTTGAGACCTTATGCTAAAATCACGACTTAATTCTCAATGACTTAATTGTAACTGCCACTGGGTATTAGTAGTTACCACTTGTTTGTTTGAGCCTTTGTAGCATGTTTTAACTCTTGTCCATTTTACTTTCTGTTGAAATTGGAGCACAAAACAGTGATAATATCAGCTGTTCTTATTCCTTTACTGTAAATACTATAGATCTATAGCAATCTGCACCAAATTGTTGTATGTACAGAAAACAAGTTTAAGTTAAAACTTTGAATAGAAGTGAAAAATAGATACCTGATACTAACTTAAGAATGAATGATACTGGCACCATAATTCTTTGAGCCACCTTTTAAAGGAACCTTTTTTGCAGTTTGAAAATAGCCCCAGTTTGCTTATTATGAATCTTGGAAGACACAAATGTCAGTACATGAAACTCATCCAATACAAACCATGCCAGTTGGCTAAAGTTGCCACACAGGGAAGGCTTTGTGCCTTCCTCTGTCATAGCTGATATGTTTAAGCCAATTTTTCGTGTGCATGACTGTTTTGGGGGGAGTTGGGGGGAGATGAACTGAGCTGGCTCGGCCATTATTATGAATGGTCGCACTGGCATGGATGTTTAAAAATCAAGGACTTCTCCTGAGTGTATCCTTGAGCAGAACTTTTTTAAGACAAGTATTTGTGCTTGTGACAGGTTAAAGTACTAACCACATTAAAACTCAAATGTTTGAGGCACAATGCAGATATGTTCTACATTGAAAAAAGGGAAATGTCTTACTCTGCTTCACTTATTCTTGCTCCAGCTTAGTTGCTAAATTTAAAGGGGAGCATTGAAAGTAAAACTTCCTCATGACAAAATGTCTTTAACTGTTGGCTACATCAGTGTTAAAACAACTGAAACAAAAGGTTCTCCAACAATATGCCATTTAATGTCCGGACTTTAAGATTGGATTTCATACGCAGATCACTGTAGTGTTTCTACTTAAATTCAGAACAACTAAAACTTCCCACATCTTAGAAATGCTGATAGGATTTCAACATAAGATAGCATCAACAAAAAAAAAGAAGCTCAAATTAAGGTGAATTTCTTTGAAGTTCACCTATCAAAAGGTAACTTGGGGATTGATTCCCATTCTTTTACACATGTCAAAAGAACCTTGAACTCTGATTCACTGGGGCTCTGTTACTTTGCAACAGCCAAAACAAAATCTTGCATATAAATGAGGAAAAACAAACCAGTATACCTAATGTTCCTCTCTGGTCTCTCAATTTCTATGTGAGCAGACACAAAATAAGTATAAATGGTTGCCACAGTTCTGTGGTAAATCTTTTTCCATACCTGCCTTGCTGCCTTTTATTTTTTGTAACTAAATAAAATGCAGACTGCTGTGTAACTGTAATTATCAACGTCTTCTGTGGTTGTTGGTGTCCATGTCTGTTTGTAGCATGGAGTAACTACAAATCCCTGGCACTGGCAGACGGCTTGAAAGAAACCAAGCACCTCTTACGGGGATATATTTGTGTTGGGTGGAGTTAAGGGTATTCTGGGGGTAATGTACCACTTTAGTTGTATATGCATGTGTTCTCTGCTGCAGGCTTGCCCATGCGATCGTGCCTAGAGCACTCTGGTTTCCAGGTGACAGACACGATTCACGGTATAGTATGAGATCTCTGAAGTTGGAGCATTCTCTACAGCTTTCATTTTCTTTAGTACTGGATTTCATTGTTTAAAAATAAGGCTTAAGCACCAGCTACTGTCTGTGCATCTGAATGTTTACAGGAATAACAAAATAGTGAAGTACTGCCCCTTCCTTTCCTCTGCTCCCTCATAAGAGAATGGTAACTTGAAATGAAGAGGATTAGAGATGTCTTTGTGGCTTTTGTAGGGCTTGAACTGGGAATTATTCTTCACATGCTAGATTATAGGACTTCAGCAAATCAGTATCAGTTCTTTCAGGTCTGGCAGGGATCAGTGATCAATGGCAGATTCTTAGAAGCAGAAATAGTTATTGCTGAATCTAAAACTGCTTGTGTTCCCGTACCCTGAAGTTCAAATCGATGTCTTCCAACAGCTTCTAGAATTAAGAAAAGTTTCCCCTACATAGGTTGCCTCTAACCTCTCAGGCAGTTCCTTGTAATGTTGTAATTCCTTGGGATTTGAATTCCTAGGGATTTGTCTAAATCAAAGTATTGCAGTATTCTGAAGTCTTGAAAACTACTAAAGCTGAGTAAACTCAGAAAAATGGAGTTATAATGTAAGACTTAAATTTGTGGGCAGAGCTAAGGGTTATCTGGGGAAAAAAAAAGTTGCAAGTTACTCCTCTATACAGAATTCTCCACCAAGCATCACTTGGGATTTTTGATACAGAGCTCATCTTCCAGCTACAAGAGAAATAAATTTGGGGCATTAGGGAGAAAATGATGAAGAACTCAATTTTCTGTGTCAAACTACCAGATGTATAAACACTGTCTGGTCATCTTCTGATCACAGATCAGATAATGTGCAATGTCTCCCAGGACTCTTGTCTTGTACCTGAAGCTTCCTGCCTTAAAATCAATTTACATGATCACAAAGTAGACTCCATAACAACTTCTGTTGTCTCTGTGCATATAGCTGTCCTCTGTTATTAAAATTGTAGAATCATTTGGGCTGGAAAAGACCTTTAAGATCATCAAGTCCAACCATATACCTAACACTGCCAAGTCCACCACTAAACCATGTCCCTAAGTACCACATCTACACGACTTTTAAATGCCTCCAGGGGTGGTGACTCAACCACTCCCCGGGGCAGCCTGTTCCAATGCTTGACAACCCTTTTGATGAAGAAATTTTTCCTCATGTCCAATCTAAACCTCCCCTGGCGCAACTTGAGGCCATTTCC